AGACCCCACCCCATGAGCGTGGTGCCCATCTGGGGGAGCGGGGCGGCGGCGCGGCGGGAGGTCCCCGTGCGGGCCGGGCCGCAGGGCCCCCCTGGAATATGCAATATCTGTTGGCCGTGGTCGCGGGGCGGCTCGAGCGGTGTGGGGGACGCGGCGCGGCGCAGCGGCGACATCGGGCGTGTCTTTTGAGGAAGCTCGCATTTCCGCACCATGAATTCTTTCGCTACATCTCCTCCTCCCCCCCCCCCACGACTCCCCTTTTCTTTTTTCCCCCTTTCGCCGTCGCTGTTTGACTACTCGGTTCGCCCGTGTCAGACGCGCGGGAGAAAGACGGAGCGAAAATAAATAAAAAGAAGAAGAAAAAGAAAGGGAAGAAAGTGTCGTGTGGCCCGCCGGTGGAGGGGGCGGGCAGCCTTTGCGCGCCCGCACAGCGTGCAGTGTGCAGAAGCGAGGCTCTGGGCCGACCCGCTGGGCCAAGACGGCCGCGCAGAGCGGGGCTATTCCGCCTCCAAATCCAAGCCGTTGGCCGCGCTGTGGCGTCGTTATGGTAAGGACAGCAGTAGCCTCGCGTATCCCCCTCCCCTTCACTCACCCCGGGGTGGCGATGCCCCTCCGGTTGGGGTACAGCTCCGGGTGCTGGCCGTAGCGCTGGTACACCTCAAAGGGCTGGTGCGCCTTCGAGTCGAACGCCCAGTACGTCTGCTCGGTGAAGTTGTCGACGTGGAACTGCAGCTTGACAAAGTTGGTCTCCGAGATGAAGGTCTGCGCCTGCTCCGTCTCGCCGCAGAACATGCCCAGCGACTTCCGGTTCGTGATCTCGGTCGTGTTCCGGTTGCCGTCCGTGATCTGAAACACGCGGAGAGAGAAGAGAGAAAATTAGAAAAGGTCGGTTCGATGAAGGTGGCGAAATGAGAGGGAGAGAGACAGACAACCTTGCTCCCCCCGCGTCTCCGGCAGACTTTTCATTGCCTCGGCATTCTATCGGACTCGCTATTCATTCGCGCCCCATGCGTCATTGAGGCGTGTGGGCGCCCTGGAGGAAGGGAAGGGAAGGGAGGG